GTAGAGCAGAAAAAAATTATATATGGTATAAAAAGAAGTAGAGGAGCTAGAATAAATAGAATCAAGCCTTGAGAGGAGATGAAGAGTGCAAAAAATGTGAAAGAGATAAATTTAGAAACCTGACAGGCCATCAACACAACAGTATGGGAAGGAAGAGTGAAAAATGACACTTCGAAGATATGACCGCAACAGCCATAATAAAATGCACAAATGGGCATTCTTCCCATACAGTCTTCTCCTTCCTATATTTTAGCTCTATATGTCAAAACCATGTAATTATTGCAGTTAAAAAAAACCAAAAAAAACAAAGAAGAAAGGCTAGTTAAACTAAAACCTATTCAAGAATACGATATATCACTCTCCAATGGAGAATTACAGTGTGTAGCTATTTCATCTGAGTGAGTGAGAGTCAAAAGGGAAAAAATGAAATGAGAAGGAAATGAAGCTAAGTAATTGGAGGAAAAAGAGATGTCATGAATTGGAAATGAGTTTTGCTTTGAGGTGCTGACTCAGATGCATAGCTCTCTATAAAAGCTACAGTAAGAATAAAAATAGACCAGAATTTTAGTTATGAATAATAATAAAAGAGACTTTTATTTGCTTCATGTGCTTCAGAAATATCCAATTCTTCTGCTTATGAATAGGAAAATAGAAAAGCTGTGCATTCCTTCTTTCAGACTTTGAGCCTTAGCCTTAAATCTGAAACCTGTAAATAGAAAATAAAACATATAATACCAAACTTGCTTATTTCATCTTTATTTACAGCTATTCAGATAGATGACAAAAGAAATGAAATTTAGGTGGAAAAAGGGAGATCGCCTATATGCATTTTTTATAGAGATGATCAAATAGATAAGTACCAGACCCTTCCTTCAGGCTTCATTTAATAAATTTCTCAAAAAGAAGCAGTTCACATGAATGGTAAAGAAAATAATCAAATGCAATGTTAGGGAAACTGTTGGTCATGAATACTTAATACCTTTTGCTATTGTCTTCCCCATAGCAGGATTTATAATATTGCTTTTAAATTTGAACTACATATTTGGACTTTGGTTCCTTTGTTTCTGTTTTCCAAATCTTTTCTCCTGAAAGTTCATTATTATTCTGTCATTGTGTGATATTGTGTCTCCAGCTTTTTTTCCATTATTGTTCAAAATTCCTTTTAGTATTTTTCATCTACTGTGTTATATCTCTGCCAGTTTTACAATCCTATTCACAGGGTGGATTGCACAAAGGATGTCAGGACAGATTCACCTGCACATGGTTATATTAGCAGGGATCACAGCTGATGGCACACATGGATTGTTAATGGAGAAAGTTATAAAAGCAGGGGAGAAAGGTAGAGACGAAGGGAGAGAGTGAAAAAGAAGGGGAGGGGGGGAGAGAGGGAGGAAGGAAGGAAGGAAGGGAGGGAGGCAGGAAGGCAGGAAGGCAGGAAGGCAGGAAGGAAGGAAGGATTTTTAGTATTCAATCAGAAAGAGCAGCAATGAGATCCTCTAGCAGAGAAGAAATGAACATTCTCTTCTGAGGGTGCTCTAACAAGGCAGGTGATGGTGGCTAAGGAAGGAGGGTGCCTACAGACTTGTGCAAAAGTCCCTTGCCACTCTTACAAAAATATCTAAGCCACTTCTTGTCAGGGCCTTTAATCTTCCTCAGAACTGCTGTGCCAAAGAGTTCATTGCTCCAAAAGAGATAATTATTCTTTCCTGTGGTTACTAGGAGGTCTTGACTTCAAAAGGCAGCAAAGCTCTGCATCAGTCCTATTGAGGAAGACCACTAATGTCTGGAGTGAAATATTTTCCAGGTATTGTTGTCTTTCCTTATTTGTTGATGCTTTTACTTTCCAAGTTGCCTTTTTTCCCCATCAGCTCCCATTGTATATCTTCCTTGTCCCAGAGATTACAGAATGAGGTTCACTGTAGCAACATATCCTTCCTGGGCTGGGTGCAGCATGTGCACAAATGCAGACAATTTCTATGATTAGCAGAGAATGATAATATAATTGTCATTTGACATTAGTCAAACTGCCAAAAAAATATACATCTTGGGAGTTAAAACTGTGTTCTTATAACACTGCTTCAGATCTTCTCTACAGATACTTTCAGGATTACCCCTTCTTTTGAAACAGTCGGTGTTGGATGTGATTATGCGGACTTAAGCTTCCTGACAATTATTTAAAATATCAAATAAGGACAAGGGAGGAGGGATAGAAAAAAAAGAAAAGTGGAGTATTGTTTAGACTGAGAAACATTTTAGTGTTATCAAGTATTTTTACGCTATCTGGTAAGTGGAAATAACTTCTTCTTTGGCTGATACCTTTTCAGAGTATGTGTTTTATTAAAGATATCCAGTATAGCTGGATATTACAATGTCAACAAATCAGTCCCTCAGTGAGAAACACAGCTCAGAGACAAATTTTTATTGTCCCAAATAAGAGTGACAGAGCATTCTGAAATGTGAAGTCAGCTTATAAGCATTTGGCATTAAATCTAGTTACACAAAGCCTCCTTTCCCCAAAAATGAGGTGCTGGAACCCTTCAAAGTCGCAGTTCTATTTTTGGCTGACTCAGAGCAGGGATTTGAATTAATTTATCCTGCCCAGAAGAACACCTGAAAAAGCAGGCCATGAAGTCATTTTTATGCTATCCTCTTGTCCCATGAATATTTAAATAGGCTGTGCAGAATATCATGGCTCTGACAGAAAAGACTGAGGGAGAGCTACCTTTATCAAAATATTCGAGACTGCTTTATGTGCTGTGAATGGTCAGATCCCTACATCAAGAAAAGTCTTGACCTTGTGCATTTCGAAACTTTATATGAATCCCCTGAGCACTGGGTTATTAGAAAAAAATGAAAAATTAGGTTACATTTTTTTCTTATCTAAAATGTTGTTGCTTTTGCTTTTTATTTCAAATATGCCAAAATAAAATATTCTGTTTCAGACTGAACAAAATATTTTGCACGAACCCCAAGTGACTAGGTTTTCTTTTCAGCAAAAAGGAAAAATAATTATACAAACTGGAATGAAAAAAATGACCCAAAATGAAATATTTATATTTCAATCCAGCTTTCAGATAAAAGCATACATTTCTTGAATGGTTCTAACACATAGGTCTGATTTGAAGAGCTGCTGAATATCTCCTCTTTAATTGACTTTAACCCAGGTGCCTCACTAAAAGCTGAAACACTCTGAGAAAGCTCTGAGAGTCACCTCTGGAACATTAAAAAGCTGGCGGTGCAAATGTCAGCAAGTTTAAGTAAACAAAGAGTTATGCTTATTTATAATAAAAAAGCTCAGCATAGTGCTTTTTGCTAGACTCAAGAAAGTATTCCAAGGTTTGGTTACTTCTTGTTTTAATTTTATACTTTAAATGAAGAAGGTTAATAATTCCCAAGTGAAACCATGGCTGGTAGCATAGAGTAAAAGTAAAAAAGAAAAAAGCATTGTGGCTTTTGCATTTTTAAACTAATTACTCAGTATTAATTCCACAGGCATCTGAGACAGGTGCTTTGCTGTGCTATTGCTATAACAGAGGAATTTGAATGTTAAAACAAATATATCTGTAAGATAAATTATACCTTCAGTTGTACTAAAAACAAAGTTTGATCCTATTTCTTTTATTCTATAATTGCACAGAAATAGAAAATAAATTATTGTGAGTGTGTCAGTGAAGTTTATTGCATATTGCTATGTCTGCTTAGGGGGACAAAAGTATCTCCCCAAGTATAACCTACTGGCCACCCTAAATCCACAATGTTTAAATGGCACTGAGGAATATGTTAAAAATTAGTAACTAAATTGTGGATAAATTAATGTAATGAGAAAATTAATAATACTGACACAGGAGGAGATTGCAAAGATGATAAGGGGACAGGCATAACTGCTGGGCATGACAGTAAAATTTAGGCTGTGTGAAGTAGATCTTTTAGCTTTTATGCAGGCTTATATACTTTATAAAGGACATGCATGTCTCTCCATGTGATACTTTGGTTACCCATTGTATACAAAGGAAGAGTTTTCTACTTACATTTAAATATGAAGAAGGGACTGAAGAGAGGATAATGCTTTAGGATCTAGTCCTTAAAGCACTAATCTGTTTATCTAGTGAACATTTGCTTATCTGTGGAGAGTGCTGGGAGGTGCAGATACTGTTGAGAAAGATTTGGGGATTCAGGAACACAAGAGAATTGATGCTAATGAAGATGACAGTTTGAATGCCTGGCTGCTGCATAAAAGCAAAGCACAACTGCTTAAATGTCCCAGGCTAAAGCCTTGTCTTACAAACTGTGTTGGACAAATATGAGACAGACTCTGCATGTGATATGATGTTAGCATCTCCAGAAAAAGTCTGAATAATTGAATCTAAAAGATCAGAGGAGAACTCCTTTAAAGTACTCATGACTTTGTGGATGACTTTGAAATGCAATCTGTTAGGACATAAAGTTGCATAAATACTTCTAATCAAATAGAGCTTGTGTATCTCTTCCTTGATTTTTCTTAATTAACAAAGGAAAATTGAATGAGGATTTTAATAAACCCCAGACTGTCTCAGCTCTTTCCTTTATCCTAAAAAGGCAATCAAGATAGATGGAGAAAGTGAAGATACCCTCAGTTCCTTTGTTTTCCAAATAATATTTCCTTCATTGTATCTCATTTGGTTCCAAATGTTTGAATATGGATATTTTTTCTGGTGTCCTGTGTGATAGTTTTGATTTTTTCTGCCCTGCTACTTCTAATATTAGTCTTTCTATTTTTTCCCTTCCTCTTACCTTTTCCACTCCAAAGATATTTGTTGGAATTCCTGAATACAAGAGCTATTTGGTTGCTACCTGCAGTTTTCACTAGTGGTACCAGATAATTTTCTCAGAACCTCTCTCCAGCAGTGTAGCCTTACAGATGAGGGGTATCACCTGAGGCATTACTGGTCCTCAGACTCACTAGCTGTGAAACATGCTAAGAAAACATGGCCTGAATCCTGAGACATCCATATGACATTTTGGGTGGAGAGGCCACTGGGAAGACTACATAGCTCCATTCTATTGCTTCTCAGTTAGAAAGAAAATACTTAGTTCCTGTCAGATCTCCCCTGAGGTGCTCATTACCAGGCAAAGGTAAGGATGAAAATGATGTGCAGTTTTTCTAGAAAAGTAAAAGATTATGTTCTTGATTATGAAATTTTAGACCTTGTTTGAAAAAGACCCCAGGCTAATCTTAAAATAAACCCCACAATCTTGGATAATGTTTCTATGGGTGAGCCTATAAGCTATGTCCCCTCATCTTTTCTAGTGTAGGTAACACTTACTGGGTTGATTTAAATTCTGTGGCTATAATTAATATATTTTTCCTTATCTCTTGTAACATATGTACAACTGAAGCATCATTTGACCTGGGGAGTCTTCTAACAGTTCATCTGCTTTCATTAAAGCTGCACCCTCTTGGGGTTTTCTTTCTGCTGGACGAAGGTGCAAATGGAATATCTATCTCCTGGTTTCCCTTATGTTTCCCATCACACCTTTTATTGCCATCTGTCTCTTTCTCTCCCTCCCTTCCACTTATTTTAGGAACTTCATTTTAGTTTTTTGTCGGAAGGAAGGAAGGAAGCGAAGGAAGGAAGGAAGCGAAGGAAGGAAGGAAGGAAGGAAGGACAGTTAATCTCTGGATTTACATTTCTGTGATTGTTTTTACTTACCACATTTTTTTCTAGATCCACATTGCTTAGTACCACAATATTTTCAAGACTGTAGAAGAAGGAATCAATACCGTACTCTTTAGGAGTATTCATTTTACAGGTATGTTTCCATATTGTGGAAATTCTGCATTTCTGTGTACTTCTCAAGGCTAACTCTAAAACCATAGAACTTGGAAATGTCCTCAAAAATCAGACAAGATTTGGAAATAATTTTGTGGTCTGTGTTCATGGCCCAGATACATCTTGATTATATATAAGAACAATAGGCCAAGTTATAGAACACCCTTACAATTTTTTTGTTTTTCTGCTTCCCATGTAATTTCTTCTGCAGCCCAGGTTTACTCAACATACAGAGGATTACAGCATTCTCTGCTTGAGATTGCTGAGAACATTTAGGCATAACCAGAGAAATGACAATCAATTTATTCATAACAAAGATGGCACTGTTACTGCCTTCTCTGCTTTTTCTAGAATTCCTAACCTTATTTGCACTTTTGGTGATCTGTGTAAAATGGTTGTTTTAGTCCAGTAGTTCTTTCCCATTCCCACTAGCCTTTCCCCTTCTCTTTTAGAGTCTCTAAAAGAACCTGCTTTCAAAAATAAAATCACTGAACTGGTTTGTAGGACATGAGTTTTCTGGTGTCAACCAGGCATAAAACTACTTTTGAGTATGTTACTATTGCAGTATTGTTTATTTTGGATTTATGGCTGTTTCCTCACTGAAAATTTCAAAAGGTCAGTTTCATCTCAGTAAGAAACAGGGAAACTGTTGAAATCTCAGTCTGGAAAAAAATTTTCTTGCCCATTTCTTATTTTTACATAAAATTTCTCCAGCTCTTAAGATTTTGGAGTCAACTAATCTGGGATCAAAAGCACAAATAACTCACTGACACAGTTATCGCTTCTGCTAAACCTACCAGATGTGAACCTGAAACCAGTGCATGAAGACCTAAATTAAGTTCTAGACCCTAAATTAATGTCAGAAAGCGAAAATTCCTGTTGACAAATCTGCATTATCCTCTTGTCACCTTGACTTCCTCAGAGGTCAGGTGATTAATCACATTAAATTCAGGACCCCACAAAAACATAAGGAAAAGCCTCAAATCGTCATTATAATGGCTGAAAAAAATATATTTGAACAGCTAAAACAAGAAATATGAAGAAAAAACTGTATACATGGCAAATTATTTGGTATGGCAGTATACATGTAACAAAATCATTATGTTTATATGTAGATTACAATGGCACAGAAAGAAATAAATTACCTCTGTTTTCTGTAGAATTTATATACATAATACCAAGAGTAAAATTCAAAGAAACACGTAACAAAGACATTTCTCTTTAGGTTGGGAACTTTACTTATTTTACAGAAGTTCAGAAATGAAGTTTAAAAAAAATCAGACATCTTTATGTGGGAAGCTGTGCTTCAGCTTAATCCAGGTATGATTATGATTGTAACATTTTGTCATCATCTGAATAAGGGGAAAGCATATTGGCTACTGGAAGCATTTCCTCTAATCTTTTGCCCTTGGAAGTCCCTGACTCCTCTAATTTCTGCTTAGGCTAACTAAAGCTAATATATCAAAGATGCTTATAATAGTGACTCATAGAGCAATCTGCTGCTCATATTCATTACTTATTCTAATAGCTGTCTTCTATTATAGTAAGTATTATACCTAGGCATATGGAGACTGCTGACCAAGAAAAACAAATATAGTCATCCATACAAAATGTTGGTATAGACTGCTGAGGTATGAATTCAATGCAGAATTAATTTTCCCATAATTTCAGAGAAAAAAATCAGTCCTTTCACCTGGGGGTGAAGAAGGGAGAGTCAGATGGAAACTAGCAGTAGAAAAGTGGATCCTGTCTAGTTTCTGCATAAGTATTTCATATTTGTACTAAATGAACATGGAGAAGAGTGAATACCTTCACTCACTGTTCTTTACCAGTAAAAATTGCTTTCAACAATTTCAGCCCCTTGAGACCAGTGAGGAATCCTGTTGCAAGGAAGATTTACCCCCAGTGGAAGAGGATCATGTCAGGAAACACTTAAACAGAGTCCAGAGTACCTATCAGGATGCACTCATGAGACCTGAGGAAGCTGGCCACTGTCATTTGCAAGATTAAACTCAGTTATCTTCGAAAGGTTGGAAAAGCTACAGACTGGTCAGCATCAGCTGAGACTAGCTCAGCTGCTCAGAGCATGGTGCTGATAACACCAAGGTTGTGGGTTCCATCCCTATGTGGGCCATTCTCTTCAGAGCTGGACTTGATCCTGGTGGGGGAAGGTTAGAGTGGAAATCTTCCTGGAAGCCATTTCCAAATGTATAAAAGTCGAAAAGGAAATTTGGATTAGACAGCATGAGTTTATTAAGTTTTCTGCTTAACCAATCCAACAGCTTTCTATTGTATAGTGACCAGGTCCGTAGGCAAGGGCTGACACGTAGCTGACATCATTTATTTTGATTTTATTGAGGCTTTCAGCATTGTCCTCTATAACGTTCTTACAAGCAAAAAGACGAAGTACAGAGTAGAAAAATGGACAGAGATGGACTGAATCAGATAAGAAAAACAAAGCCAAATACCAAAGTATGTAAGACAGAAAAGCAGGCCTAGAAACAAGGAAACTATTATTGAACTGTCAGGCTCAAAGGCTGTCAATCAACAGAATAAAGTCCAGCTGGAGACCACTCACTAGAGGTGTAGCCCAGGGATTTGTAGCACAGGAATTCTGTCTGAGTGGACACTAAGCTGCCCAAGAGACACCAATGTACCCTTGCATCAAAATTTGACAGACTCTGATTTCATTAAGAGAAATCTTTCCAGTAGGATGAAGGAAATTATGATTCCTCTCCACTTTGCCTGGGTGAGACTTATCTGAAATGCTAGGCCCAGTTTTGAGCTTCCCAGAGAAAGAAAGACATGTTGTGAGTCCAGGAAAAGGTTACAAAAATTTAGATACTGGAGATTCTGTCACAAAACAAAACAGAGAGATGGCTCTGTTCAGCCTGAAGTTGAAAAGACTCAGGGGGATTATGTCAATGTAAAAAAATACCTGACCAGAAGAGGATGAGACTATTAGTGGTGCCCTGTGCCAAGAAAAGAGGCAATAGCCACTAATAGAAATAAAGTTACTTCCCTTTAAACATTATAAAAATGTATTCTGTAAATCAAATTAGAATATGTTTACTGAAAACGAGGTCATATTCAGGTTTTCCAGAGAGGTTTTAAAGCCTGCATCCTTGGAGATATTAAAACCTCACCTGACATTGGCCTGATGAACATTTGAGAAGAGGATTGGCCTAGATAATCTTGAGGGCTTCCTTCCTGTCACAGCTGTTTTGTGATACAAGAACAATATCCATCTTAAAAACAGGACCCTGAGTCTTGTTAGGTCTTGTATGGGCATATACATAAGGCTTTGATCCCAGCTAGAAAAACAGTTAAAATCTAAATTTTATTCAATGCTAATTTTAAAAAGGATATTTTCTCAGGAGATGTTTAGAATGTAGTACAAATAGTTTGAAGTTTCTGGGATCAGATTAGCAAAATTGTACAGGAATTCCATAGAAAAAATGCAGCAGATAATGGTCTGTGGTGTTTTTCTGCTTCCTGGTTTGATGTTAGACACCGCCTTAGAACTTTATCACATGTTAAGAGACCTTTGTCTTCTGTCTTCTTTAGGCCAACAATGCCAGCTTTCAGAACTGTTGAATCTGAGACCATCTTCTTTTTCTACAGTGTCCTTCACCACTTCCCAGGATTTAGTAAGCTTTACTTAACAAACTTCCACTGCATAGAAAGGCTTTTACTACACATTTATGTGCCATGCATATTTCTCTCTGCCTTTTTATTTTTTTTTTAATTTTTTTTTGCTTTCCCTGAATGATTATATTTCTTTTATATAAAAAGCATAATATATAATCCAGTCTGTTTCCCCTTTCCTTCACACACACACAAAGTCTTCCTTCCTTTTTGAATGTTTGAAAGCAAAAAGTAATGTATTCATCTGAACAGCTGGGTAACTTTCATGCTACATGCAAATCAGTTTAAAAAGTAACAAACCTCGGGAAAATGCAACAAAAACCTACAATAGCTCAAATTGTAGTTCCGATACAAATCTCTCACTGTTCAGAAAATTGTGTTCATTGTCTTCTATTTTTAGAAAATTCATTACAAGAACTTAAAAAAGGAGATGTACTCTTCTGCATTGTAGCATATTCAGGAATTCCATTTTTATCCTGTAACTCTATTCATTTGGGAACATGCAGTGAACCAGCAGGACGAGGCTCATTTCAGAAACATGGCAAAGTAGGACAGTGTCCTACCAATGACAAAGAAAAAAATAAATAAACTTAAAGAGGCACACTTCCAGTTTTCTATTGACTTGTGTTCTTGTTTTTATAATACTGTAAAATGTATCCTTTTTAAATGAGCCCTGGCTAGCAAAATTAAACTGAACATACAAATACTGCATTTTAATGCACAAAGTTTGTTTCTCATGTGGAAATACACATGGAGTATGGACTTTCTCCTTGGAAAACAAACAAAAGGAAATAAATATTACATATACTGTAGTTTGGAATGATGGATTTAAATTTGTTCTCATTATAGTATTGGAAATGTTGCAATTTCCCTGAGTTAATGCCAGTGTAATTTGAATATGAATTACAATCATGACAGGTCAAAAAAACGAGGCTAATCTGCCAGACATTGCTATTAAGTAAAGATTTTACTGGGCCCAATTAATTACTCTCAAAAATATTTGTATTTTCTAAATAAATCCAGACACTAGGAAATGCTAGGCTTTTTTTTAGTTTTTTTTTCCTTTCCATTATTTTCTTTTTTTTTTTTTTAAGAAAGACATTTTTGCATCCTCCTCTTTTTTCAGAAAGTAGCATAAGAATTCTGAAGGGGAAATCAAGATAATCAGGTCTAAGTGTTCACAGTACAAACATATACCCAGGAGTGCAAATTACCTGGTGAGATTTTTCTAATTATTAACCCTTTCAAGTGTGACACTTCTCATAAGTGTAGCTCTGTTCTTCTAGCCAGACTTAAAAAAATCAGCACCTATTTTGGTCACTGCCATAGTATCCAGTTAATAGTAGTGGCAAGAATGAAGAATTTAATATCTTTAGACTTTTGAAATACAGTTAGTACTTGTTTAAAGAAATGTGTGTTTTAATGTTTGATTAAGAAATACATTTACCAATGTCATTAGGTTTCTGCAGGGAGAGATTCTGTCCAGGTGTATAGGAATGAAGCAACCAGGTTCTTCCATCAAATTTGACTTGTTAAAGTGATCAGCTGTGGCTTGTTCAGGGCTATAGCCTTTCAAAAATCTGAAACCTTACCTGCTGATCCAGCCAAAATAAAGGAGCAGAGAATAACTGGGACAATGGTAGAAACCTATTTGTTAATATTTAAATAATTATTTTAAAAAGTAAGTTAATCATTATCACTTTTAATGAGTGCTGTATTTTATCCACTACAAATAGTGTAAAAAATGTTCACTGTTCAAACTTCATCTGTGAGCTTTGCATCAAAATGATAGAACATTTGGCTTACAAAATTGAAGAATTGGACTACATTTCTGTTTTTATCAGAAGCCAAAGGATCTTCTGATTTACATTATCTTTCTGCAAAAAGTTTTCCAACAGAATTCAGCAGAATGACTAGTCTGGAAGAGACCTCTGAAATCATCGAGTCCAACCCATGCCCTACACAAAAAACTTGGCCATGGCACTGAGTGCCACATCCAGCCTTATTTTTAATATGTCCAGGGATGGTGACTCCACCACCAATAGTCTGCTCAGGCAGACTATTCCAGTACTTTATCACCCTTTCTGTAAAGAACTTTTTCTCGATGTCCCACCAGTATTTCCTTTGGTGCAGCTTGAGAGCGTGTCCTCTTGTTCTGTCAGTTACTGCCTTTACTCAAGTTTGCTTTTACTAATAGGCTAAATTTAATGTTATTTAGTTTCACTAGATGGGTTAGATATATTTTCAAGAATTATACCTGCAGTGTTTTTTATTGTTTTATGGTTTTACCGTCAAATTTCCCGTAACCTCTGTGTGTCTGAAATGCTTTTTATTACATATCACCACTCATTTCTCTGGCAAGACTGGCAATCTGACTTTCACAGATGCCAAATACAGGTACAGGCTCAAACTGCTGATCTCCTGCTTAAGACTTTTTGTTAGAGGTCAAGTCCCAGATGGAGACTTGTCATAGATTGACATCCTCTGCAGAGCAGACAGTGTTCCATAGCATGGACACAAATTCAGGCAAGCACAAATAACAGTGGGATTTTTTTAAACAAATTCAAGTCAGTGGCATAAGTTTCAATTTTCATGACTTGTACTGCAGTTTAGGGATAACCTAAATTATTAAAGGTGTGGTTTATGGAAATTCTATTTAACCACCTTATGATCATATATGTTTTGGTAGCTGTGTTTGTTTTTCTTGTCCTGAGGTGGACACTTAGCTGGACTCACTCCATCCACATTCAGCATTACTTGAGAACAAATTAAGGATCTACATATTCCCCAGCTTTCTCCCTCTTTCACCTTCTTCAGAAAACAGTGAAAAGACATTACATTTCTAGACAGTGATTCAAGTCTATTACTCAAGGTATTATTTTATTACCTAAAATTAGGCTGGGGAAGATCAGACCTTGTTGATTAAGCAGCAAGAGAGGTGGTCCTTTAAAAATAAGCTGCAGGTGAGTGACAAACTACATGGTTATTCATTATATAATAACAACTGTAATTAGTCAGAAGTAGAAACATGATACAGTTCAGCAAAACATTTTGGGTTGGAAAATAATATTTTGGCAAGAATCTGCTTAAAGCCAGTGTAATTAAGTCCACTGTAATTATTGCAGTGGTATTGCGCAGGATCATGCCTAAGGACTTTTAAAGTAGTAGTGCATGCTCAGTCACAGGGGAGTTCTCACTTTGTTGAAAAATAAATACACAAAGTTCATGGAGAGATTTTTAGACATGACAAGGCATATCACCATTCATATATATATTTGCATGAGACCAATTGTCCTTTGAAAAATTCGATTTTCTCCCAAGAAAGGAAAAATTTGCCAAAAAGATCCTCAGACCACTAGCTTAGATGTAGACTATCAGCTTCAGATGTCTCTATACAAAGTGAAATGCATTCAACAATAACTGGTTGTACCCCGAGAGCTTATAACCTCGGGGAATTTAAAGGCATTTAGAAGACTTGGGCTCCTGATTCCCACAAGTTTCTAGCTTCTATTCATCATTGTACTCTGAGAATACCTTCTAGTGGTCATAAAATTAATAATCATTAAGTAGATTTTTTACTTCATTAAAATTTGATGCATTAATGTTGGTGATCTGTTTTTTTCACACGAGAATAAGAAGACAGTATACACAGAAATAAAACTGTGGGATATAACTGATAATAATCACTTTTTTTTAAGTGATGCACTCCAAATGCAGGTCTTAGATTGCTTATATTTTTATTGAGTTGCATAGGAAATGAAGGCAGAGAATCATAGAGTGGTGTGGGTTGGAGGGGACTTTAAAGATCATCCAGTTCCAAACCCTCTAACATGGGCAGTGACACTTTCCATTAGACCAGGTTGCTCAAAGTCCCATCCAATCTGGTCTTGAGCTGTTCCAGGCATGGGGTATCCAGAACTTCTCTGGCAACCAGTTCCAGTGCCTTAGGACCCTGACAGTAAGCCAATGAAACAATACCAGCAGGAAATTTTATTTTTTTAAAATACTTTGTTCTTTTTATTTTAATTTGTTTTCTTGAAACCACAATGAAAGAATTCAAAAGAATACATTCGGTTTATATTTCATGTGTCTGTACTTGCACTTCAAAGATATATTTTACAGAATAGATATTTAATTAATTTATTAAAACTAACTCTGCCACCTGCCCTTCACTCTGAAGCAGATTCTAGCTAATTTACTGTTGAGGTGGATTTTGTTTGTATGTATTTTTAAGTGTCTGTCATATTTCTGTATATCTAAATCATTCACAGTTCATCCTAGTGAGAAGAGTGGAGGAAAAGCATAGCCCTGTTCCTGCTAAAAGCTGCTGAGAAGGAGGCATGTTGGATTGGGATGGCAGGGTTTTGCCAGCGAGGGCCTACAATGGTGGCTTCTGTGAGAGGCTTCCCCTGTGTCCAGTGAAACCATTGACAGCTGGCTTCAATGACAGACAGATCTGCCACTGGCC